TATTTAAATTGTTTAAATTGTTTAAATTATTTAAAGAGGCCGGGGGATTTAAACAATTTAAACAACTGTATAAATATTTAAATGATTTTAAGTGGTTTAAATTGTTTAAATCCCCGGGGTCCCTTTAACTAATTTGAACAATTAAAATATTTGCGTTGCTTAAATTAATTAAATTGTTTCCTTACAGTAGAGAAACCCAGAACGGTGAAATAGACCCGAAAGGTAGCACTCTCATATATATATCTATATATATATATATATGTGTGTGTGTGTGTTTTTATATATCCCCGTTTTTGTCTTTCGGCGGTGCGTGGTGCCGTCAGCATGGGGGTGTGCGGCGCGCGCTCGTCGCGCGTAAGTGGCGAGACGACGACTATCGCGTCGCAGCAGCGGGCTCCGCCTCGAGCCGTGGCCCCGTACACAACACCTCTGCAGTTTTTGACCTGTACTTATACTTCGGAAGCTGTGGTGCGGGCCAGGCATTGCTGAGGGACTACATGATGCATGACCCTCCCCTCGGCCTCAGTCCACCCCGTCTTCCCCACCTGGATCCAGGCATCCTCTGGCCAGCTTTGCTCGCGCCGCAAGGAAGCCTGTCCGCGAGTTTGGCTTGCTGTGCCATGGCGGATGACGGATGGCGAGATGCAGGGAGGGTGCCGTCTCCCGAACCAGGAGGCGTTCCGCTTCACGCTGCGTGTGTTCGAGACGGCGAAGGGCGAGAGATGCTGCATGATGCGGCAGTGATTTATCTTAGGAAGCAGCGACGGCATCTTTAATGCCGCGCAGGTCGACGAAAGCCCTGACGGCTGGATCCGGCTGAACTTGCCAGCACGGCTACCGGCACCAAAACGAAGCCAGCTCAAGCAAGTCAGATGGCAACAATCCGTTGAGGCAGCAGCTTCCAAGGTATCATTATGATTCTGTTCCATATGCCTGCTTATCCACAAGCTCGACGTTGACGATGCTCAATTTTTCTCCGTGGGACTCGCGCAAGGTGCTTGAATTCAACTGAACAGCATGCAGCCATTGTCAATCAGGGCACTTGAATCAAGCTCTACTTGCGCAGCAATATTAGACGATGCTATGTTGCCACACTAAACACATGCCCCCGGTCTCAACCTGACAACTTGAGCCCTGAACCCTAAAACCCTAATAGCCTAAAACCCCTGACCCCAAACCGCCTAAAGAAAGCCTAACCCCAAAGAAACCGACCCTGGCGCCGCGTTGAGATGGCAAAGACACTATGTGCCGCCTCATCTCGGCCACATACAGAAGCTCGGCGTCAACCTCTCCCGCCTGGAAAGAGATGGGTCAGACGCAGAGTCTTCTTAGCGCCTTTTTCTTATGACAAGCTTTCTGACGGGTCTGAGAACGGATCTCCGGCCTCTACCATCCTCAGTGCTTCGCGGATCCGCTTCCCCAGGTCCAGCTTATCCTTCCGCAAGGTGTCTCGCTGCTGACCTTCTGCAAGGTTCTGGGCTGAGGTTAGGCTTTAGGTCCTTTAGGTTGAGGTGCAACAGTTTCTCTCGGGCCCCTGCGCTTGGAATCCACGTATTCCACGTCAGCGCGATACTTCTCCAACATCTGGGCTCGACTCGAACATGCTGGCAAAAGGCAGAGGGCTGGTGCGTTCTCTAGGTCCGGTCTGCAGCATCTGGGCCTCCGGATTTTGCAGCAGCTTCTTCACGAAATCTTGCGCAGCGCGACCTGCGTGAAGAGGTGCTGACTTGAAACGACTTGAAACTGTGTGTCGGTCCCCTTCCCCCGCGCTTTCGACCGAGGGTTCGGCAATCTTGCATGCAAAACCGAACATCTTCCGGAATCGTGTCCTGGCCGCATTGTACTGTCAGACCAACTGCAAGGGATTGGACTGTCCTCGTAGCTCAAACCTAGGAGCTCCGTCCCGTTCGGCAAGATGATGAAATCCTCTGCGGCAGCGCACGCATTTGACGGCGTGTAGGCAAACCGGAGCGACAGCGGCGTTCCGTCATTTCCGTCCTCTACGTGCTCCCCCGTCAAGAGCTCTGACAAGAATTCCTCGGCCGTCGTGACATACCGTGGTCGTCTGGTTGGATCCTTCGCAAGGCTGATATGGTCTACAGGTTGCAGGCTTCCTCAAGTCTGGCTGCATGCGCTAACGCAGATTCATGCAGGTTCATGAACCATTCGCATGGCACCATGCCGACATTTGATGTGCACAATCTGATTTGGAACATCGACCCCGCTCGCAGTTTTCGGTGTTGCACGCAGCGTCCGTGAATATCGCTCAAGTACCTTACGCTGATGCGTGTAAACGCATGTAAACGCATGTAAACGCATTGCATCATTCATTGGTACATACGCTACATTCATGTACGCATACATACGACACGTGCGCGTGGGACGCATGCGAGGCACGCACGCATAGCTTAGAAGCACGTAATTAGGCACCTTCACATGCCCATGAGCACAATAGGGGGCTGTAGCCACGCATGTGTTTCAGCCTGGAGCAGCTCCTCCGGCCAGACACCTGCACAACGAAGAGGTGGGAGATGCGTGCGGAACGCAAACGGCAGACGGGACCCTGGCGCTGTTGCCTTGAAGCATCGCGGGTACCGCTGTCTCGGCATCCCTCGCCCATCCCGGGCGTCCTGGTCAGAAGGGGAGCCACTCAGCCCTTTTGCGCGGAAGCCTCGCCCGGCCTTCCATATCATTTTTGACCGGCTTGCGGGAAAACCTGGAAGAAGGAGGAAGGCCTGACTTGAGCCTGAGATGAGCAAAGACCTTGCCTCGAGACTCGAGATCCCTCCTTCCGCCTTGCCCCCCTCTCCCTGCAGATCCTTTTTTGAGACCCGGGTGGCGGCGAGCGATCCGAGCCAGGGAAGCTTTCAGAGAGCCCGAAGGCTTCCTTCGTAGCCTCTCAGTTTGGACAGCTTCGCTTTGAGTGCGATCTCAAAACTTCGGAGTTAGGGCATCTCGGAAGGCGTGCGGTCTTTGTGTCTGTGAGGGCGTTCATTGCACTGCACAGACTGGACGAAGCCGCGGATTCTAGGAAAACGATCTTCAAGGCACTACCCTCTTGCACAGATGATAACGGGTAGTTAGGGTTAAGGGCTCGAGGTGGCTTCGCTCCTCTTTACTAGCGTACCAGTGCTTATCTGATGTTCGGCCGCTCGCCTTTCGAGCTAGGCGTCTCAGGCCGGCGAGCAGCGCCCTTGCCATAGAAATCGCGAACTCATTTTTGGTGAGAGATGTTCATTACAAATCAAGAAGCAAAAATCGTTATTCGCAAGTCTTTGGCAAAGCTGCTGGCCGTCCGACACTACAGCTGCGGAGGGAGTGGCGCCACTCTCTCTCCTGCAATAACTCTTCGATCTGATGGAGTGCGACAGGGTGGCCAATACTTGCGGTGACACCCGTCGTATCATGGCTCCTCGAGTTTCGGCAACCTGCATGGAAATGCTCTGGAAGTGAAGTTAGCTCACCGCATCAGCAACAGGAGGAGGGAAGCAATCTTGATATGTGATGCAGGTTGGCGTCTCCTTGCTTTGGCTTCGCTGACGCTCGAACTCGCGACGCATACGTTCAAGAGTGACTAAAACCTTGTTGCATATTACCTGCAGATGTCCCGAAGCCCTTGGCACCATCAGTGGAAATGCAGTTGTCTCCACTCACTGATCCCACGGAATGCAGAGGTCGCTCCTGAGTCTATGCAGACGCGAACATACGGCTCCAGAGTTCTAGAGCTTTAGGCCGTGAGCGTTGCGGGTTTCAGGCTTCGACTTGGCTCTGACTGGCTTGGCGCTTCTGGCTAGGTTTATGGTTAGGCTCGACTGCCGCAATGTTCACAAAAAGCCACGGCTGAGGCTCCACTCAAGCTCTGGGCGACCCGCCCTTTGCCCTCGGCCGTGGATGCTACGACCAGGCCCACGATGAGGCCGTACAGGCCCAACGCCTAGAAGAGCGCTTCGGATTGGGGGGTTTGGGAAGGTGGTGGTGGGGACTCACTTACATCCCATCACCTTGAAGCACCCCTGCAAACTGCTGCAACCCAAGCATTGAAGAAGGGCGTCCTCGGCGAAGATCAGGATCAAAATCATGCCCACAAAAAGTCTCGGCCTCGAAACGTTGGACGTGGGACGTGACAAGGCTCGCCTCTTCTTCTTCGGCAGGGCATGGAGGCACCCCCCTTTTGTAGGAGGCTATGGAGGGGTGTGAGACTCTTGGCCGGGCGAGTAAGAGTACATGCTATTTTGAAGACGTATTTCGTTTCTCTCTTTGTCTCTTATTCTCACTGCACAGCACATGACTCCGTCAAGGGATCTCGTTGAGGTGCCGACTCCTGGGCATTCGCTCTCACTCCGGCATCTCCGACTACCCCAATCGCCATACCTCGCGACTGGCAGTCGGAAAGAGGCTCATTCATCCAGCATGTCTGAGTCACTCTCGTGGGCCTGCAGCCAGCGAGCTCATGCCGACGGTCACGCCGGCCTTCTAAAGGCCCAAAAGAGGGGCAGCTGACAGGAAGTGAATTCTGAGGGCTTGATAGGCTTGAAGTCCATCTCACCGCAATAAGACTTGCGGCTTCCGGCGACCCCTGCCACGATGTAAGTCCTGTGATGCAATTCTTTTCCAGGAACAACGTTGAGTCTGGACGCATTGGGTTACAGCAATTGCTCAGTTTGCGAATTCCGATGCAACCTCGAAGGGTGTTGACCCACGACGGGCCAGCATGCGCAATTGACTGGATGCATACAGTATCTGGCATAAAGGACGGACTGATTGCGACAGCATCATCTTATGCTTTAACACTCGAACGCCCAGATGAGGTTGTTGCCCCGCGAGCTGTCACCACTTGATCGAAGCCCACATATTCCAACGTTCAGCTGCACCACATGTCATGCGCAGTGCCCAGCATCAGCTGTCCACATGGTATGCACATGAGTGCAACATTACCTCATTTCAAAATTCACAGTCCAGGCAGCAAGCCTGTCTCAGCATGCAAGCACCTCTTCGAGGATGCATCCCAGCAGTAGCTGGAACCGCAGTTGGCCTAGGCTCGTTGCGAACCGATGGCAGGATGGCAGTGCTTGGCACGCGTCCTCTCGGCAATGTTCCATGATGGCTTTGACCATTGACTCGGTCTGGTGGCGTTCGTCGTTCGCAGCGCGGGGTTTCAAATGTTCAACTGCCTCGATGATTGGGCGCAGCACTGCGCCGTCTTCATCTGCATGTGTCTCAAGCACCCTCAGCGTCAACTCCGTGCCGCCGAGATCGACGACACGCCGCAGGTGATTCGCGTGCAAAAACATCAGACTCTCCAAAAATATGCCTACTTGGCAGCAAATATCCAAGTTGCAGAGGTGCTTCTCCGTCAAGACAAGTAAGCTCGTCTTGGTACAATGTTACCAACACTGTTAATGCTTCTTGCGGTCTGGTGACTACGTGTCTGTTGGCACGCTGGCCTGCTGCGCTTCTGTCTGCAGCTCTTCACGCCCCGGTGCGGACAGGAAGGCTAAACCTTCTGCACTTCAGGCTGTGGCGCAGTGGTGCACGAAACTGTTCGATTGGCTGTTGCATGGGAGCTCTCCTTTGCCCACTTGGCAAGCTCATGGGCTAAGAGCTGCTTCGAAACTCCTGCTGCGAAGCAACTCCAAGCCGTTGAGCCTGGAAAGCCGCCTTCGATGAGGCCCAGATGTCGCCGCATCGCAAGATTTGGCTCAGGCCCAGGCTCCTTTTGCGGAGCTAACATGTCTAAAGCCGAGGCCATCTTTTGTTAGCGCCTCTTCTTCTCCCTTGGCTGTCTGCGAGGGCGTGAAGGCGCCCTCTCCTCCTCTTCCGAATCTTCCTTTCCGTTTTCCCGCCATTGCCTTTGTGCGGGTCCGGATCCATCGAGCTTGCCTATTCAGGCAGTTTCACATGGTGCCTCTTCCGAACATGGCTACTGTCTCAGGAACGCAATCGGGAATCGAAGGGCAAGCTTCAGCTTGAGCCGAAGCATTTTATGCTTCACGATTGCCCAGCCTTACAGTATCTGCGTGAGGAGACGCACAAAGGCCGGACACACATCGCCAAAAGCAACTTAGACTCCACCATTTGGAAGTTCGCTTGGAGAAACTGCCAACCGAAACCTCTAAAGAATGCTTCAGCTTCACACTCTGCAAGGCTTCGGTGCTGTGGGTTTCCGGGAGGCGTCAGTGGGTTTCCACAGGGCCCCCTGGAGCAACGGACTGGGAAACCGGCCGCCAGGTGCGCATAGCCGGAGTAGGACTCAGGGAGTTTGGAGTTTGGAGATGTTTGGAGCTCTCGGAGGGCGTAAATGCTACGACCTTCCTAAAAAATTCCTAAAACCCTGCATCTCTGCAAAGAGCTCGACTCTACAGGGTCATCGTCAACGTTTCTGAACTCTAAACCAACGGCCACAACAGAACCCTGGAAATGAGGGGATAGACTGATAGACCCCTTGCGTACTTGTTTAAAAGGCCCCCCATGGTAGGCCCCAGGCCGAGTAGGAGGGAGCATGGATCTTGCCTCGCAGAATCAGATGGGGGATTCCAAGGGGCCCCTCCCCTCGCCAGGAACTTCTCTGGGTGCCTAGGTTCGAGGGCTTGGTATTGCTAGCACCACAAAGTGGGCCGGAGGGGGGCATCTGGCATTGACGAACCAAGTTGACACTGCGGTACCTGGAAAACAGGGGCTGGGTTTAAAGAAGACTGGCTGAGAACAGTGTCCAGAAGTCTGAACCTGCCCCCAAAGAAAAAAAGCTCAACCCGAACGCGCGCACTCCAGCCACAGAAGCTCAGGTCCCTGCCGTTGATAATCACGCTAGTGATTAGCCCGTAGATGCCAAGCCTCGGATCTTGGCCACAAGGCCCCAAGAAGAAACTCCGAGAAAAGATTATAAACATTATTCCATTCCCTGTTTTCTAGGTCCTTTGACTTCACGAGGCGGCTCTGAGCACCTGGGTGCCCGGGCACACCTGCCATGACCACGGGGATGATGGACCTGAACTGAACGGTTTCGGTTTGAAGATTTCCGACTCAGAGCGGAGGCCTCCGAACCAAGCCAAACTGTTTCTCCATGTTGCCGGTACTCCGGGCATCATGCAGCAGCCCTCCCCGCCGGAGCCTCATGACCATGTCTGGTCGCATAACCTGGCGGGGTCGGATCCACAGCAAGGCAACAAGTGCAGGCAGTATCTGGGGAGTGCAGCCTTGGGCAAGAAGTGCTCATGCAAAGGCATTGGCATTGGCGGTGCACCCTTCGCTGCCAAGTCCCGGGCGCCCAAGTTGGCGATGCCGACCCCACTCTTGGCGGTGCCGTAGGCCGCACCGAGGTTTGCCAAGACCTGGGAGATTGGATTTCAAGTAAGGAGCTCGGAGGAAAAGGCTCGTCTGAGGGACATTTGGCGCTCGAGGCTTGTCAACGAGATGACAGAACAGCGGCCAAACTGCGCTTGTGGGTCTGGTTCCACATGTGACTATGAGAGTTCGCTCTCTGTTTCGTCCGTTCTCAGGTGGAGGCGAGGAGTCAGCTCACGCGTTTCTTGGCGCCCGTTCAGAACGACAACTGTTGCTTATCCTTTGCCAAGACGGGCTGCTACCGTTCTCATGCACCTGTAGTTTACGAAGATGTGTCCAGTTTCTCCCAGGATTCACTCACCTTCATTGATTCATGTAGGCAAGCCAGCCAACTGCATCTCAGCGCAAGGATCCTGATACCCTCCGCAAGTCTACATAGCCCGGTGCCACCCACTACCTCCTACCTGCTACCACGGCCTACTCCGTATCAGACAGGTCACGATGGCACTGCTGACCCCCAGCATGCCAAAAAAGTTCGCCGACGGATCGCACCTTGGCAGTCGCACTTGGATGTGGGGTGCCGACCCCCGACAACACCTGTATCTTTTCACTTTACCCCTCTTCCAAGTTCGAGAATGCTGGGCAAAACATGTATCCTTAAAGTCAAAGGTCTGAATCAACTCTACGCATGACATCCTTCATACATGTTACCGAAATTCCTGTCCAACGTTCCATTCAGCTGGCTTTTGCGGCTGCCGAACTGAGCTCTTTGAGCCAACCTGACTCTCTCGCTCCCCAGCCTCTCGCAAACTTGCAGCGAAGGACACCACGTACGATGTAGGATGAGTCAAGTAAACATCGAGAGGCGGAGTCGCCGCAGAAAAGACGCGAAGCGCGACGCAAAACCTTCCTTCGTCTCGTCTCGTCTGGGCAGTTGCCAAGCCGCTGCCATCTGCGCAGCGGGGGTTTCTTCCACAGACTTGATGCCCCTCTGAGAGCATAAGAAGCACAGTAAGAGCAACCATACTTTTTTTGCTCAGCAGCATCTCGAGCATCACAAGGCTGGCAATGGCACGGGGATCGTGTCCTAAACGAGACGCTTTCGGTACGGGCCTATTCGGAATCCTGACGACCTGGAGTGGCTTCGAAAAATGGGCTTCGATAAGTTTGGCTGGGTTCGCCTGGAATTTCTTCCCTGACACCTGACAGGTCTGACACATGGCCACTTCTGGGGGCCCGGCATGATTTTCTCCACCATCGCGCTGGGTCTAACCTCCCATAGTTGGGCCGGTGGTGATTTCGTGGAATTCATGGCTTTTGGGGATCTGAAATGCTCCTTGGAAGGAGCTACGAGTGGCACAAGAATCAAGAAAGGCTTCTGCGACCAAGTCTCTTCACTTCCGCCACTCTTTGTCAGGGATTTAGGGCTTTGATCGATATGCTTGGCTCTGGGCCCTGCCGACACTTTCACCCCCCTACTTTTGATCCAGTGCACGTCTTGTCCCTTAAAAGCTCTCCTTCTGCGGAGACAGGAAAAGGGGAGGTCACAAAAACATCCCTTGAGGCATGGTGGAAAAGCCTCCCCAAGTGCTGCTCCACTTTGCCCTTTAGTTGCAGGGCATCTGCTCGAAGGCCAGATCATAATCCTGTTCCGTCATGTCTTTCCCGTAGAGGTCCGGATACCTATGTCCAAGGGCTCCCATTTTGGGTGGATAGCTGGAGATAAGGAGCGTCGCATCTGCAGGGGGTCCAGGATTGGCCTCCTCTTTGTTAAAGGCAAAGAAGCGGAATTTCGTCGGGTTGCAGCTTGTGTCAAGTGTCCAGCTATTGTCTCTGGACCGTGCCACGTCATAGCCATTTCCTACGTAGTTTCCAACTCCACTGTTTGGAGGGTCGTTCCAGTTCTCAGTATTGGACAAAACTTCCACCTGTTCAGCTTTGGAAGTTGTCTCCGAGCCCGAGGAACACTTCAATCCCCTTACGACTCCTGTAATGGTCCCCTCGCCGTTCAGTGCATTGATGAAGGAGAACCTCAAGCAGACCGTGGACGTCCTTGGGCGAAGCGCCCTCCTGCGCCATCTCAAGTTTCGTCCTCGTCCCCGACGGTGCACTTTCGGCCACCTCGGACCGCGGCCATGGCCAGCGCGGCCATGGCGCCTCTGAGGCCCCAACCCGGGCCGCTTCGGCATCCAGCGCTTCGGCATCCAGCGCCAGTCCGACTCCACTGATGCGCTTCCTTCCTCCCTCTTTTGGACCACCTGGTTCTCGCTCTTCAGCTGCAGGGCGACCACCTCGTCCAAAACCTCGTCCCTTGCAGGGCTACAGGACTCCGCCGAAACCGAGGGCAGAGCGAGCACCGGTGCGAGCGTGGAGACCGCCCAAAGGACTGCAACCAGCATCGCGTCGATGCTGGGGAGCTAGGTTCGCTCTCGGATGGAAGGCGCCTTCTAGGCCTTCCGGGCCTTCTGGGCTGCGGCCGGGCAGAGCAAGGGCTTCCTATAAGCGAGCCTTCCGAGTGCCCTTGCGCTGAGGCCCGAGCTTTGCAGCCTTCGGTGACACAAAAGGGAACCCGCCCGCTCTGTACGGAGCTCTTCACAAGGCGCGAAGCCGCCCTCAACTACTGGAACCTTCGGGCGCGCGGGAGTCGAGCGCCAAAGCCATGCAAGGAGCGGAAGATGAAAAATACCCCAGCACGAAGCGAAAGACTCTCTCTCTCACAGAATTGCTGAAGTCCTCTAGCTCCACCATGCTTCTTTCTGAATGCCCTTGCAGAAAACTGTGACCGCCCAGCTTTGTACTATTCCTGTCCTTCAGTGGCAATGGCCGTGGCAGTGGCAGTGACAGTGGTGGCAGTGGTGGCAGTGGTGGCAGTGGTGGCAGTGGTGGCAGTGGTGGTGGTGGTGGTGGTGGTGGTGGTGGTGGTGGTCCAGACGATAGCACTTTTCAGCAGCACGCCGCGCACTTTTCAGCAGCACGCCGCCGCGCCACAAGCCGCCGTCAGCTCGGGGCACGAAAAACCGCCAGAGTCCTGGCTGCACGCAAGCTACGATGCTACACGGATGTACCATCATGTTGCAATCTCTGGTCACTGGGAACTGGGAAATCTGATCATGCTGACAAGAGCATCCTGGAACCCACATCCACGTCATCCTTAAAAACCTGCCGCCAAGTCCTGCTTGATCGCTCAGTTCAACGTTCAAGTACGAGCTTTCCGATCAATTTTAGTATGCCAGCGTGGACCCCCAAACGACCAGGAGACCACGGGGAGGCCAAGCGACCGCCAGGACCATCGAGACGCCGCCATGAGACACCAGGACACTGCCAAAATGCTTTCCCAAGGTAGTGGAGGCTCCAAGACCAATGCGAAAATCCTTTCCGCACAGGCAACACGAGACTTCTGCTTCCCCCCCTTTACCTTGTAGGATATCATGAACAATGACGTCACTGTCACCGTCATCATAAACACCGCAATCATATGGTAACACCATCATCACCAACAACACACCATCACCCCACCACCTCCACCACCGTCAAGACCGCCACCGCCACCGCCACCGCCATGATGATGATGATGATGAGGAGGAGGATGATGATACGATGCTGATGACGATGCTGACGACGATGCTGCCGATGGTGCTGATCACTATGATTATGATGGTGATGATGATGGTGATGATGATGATGGCCATGATGATGATGATGGTGATGGTGATGATGATGGTGGTGATGATCGCCATCATGATCATCGTCCTCGTCACTATTGCTGGCATCGTTTCAACTTCAACATGAAGCACCATCAACAACATCGTCATCATCATCCTCATGGTCGTGAACATGCTCATCGAGATCATTGACATCATGACCGTCATCGGCATGACTACCACCCCAATGATCACAATTGGTCGAAGCCGTAACCACTGGCATTTCGCCTGACACGGTCCAAGCGCTGCAACCCGAATGACTGTTGAGTTGTTACCGCGCTTGATGGACGCTGCACGATGCTGCGATGTCGTGACGGCCATGTTTAAGCTGGCGCCAGATTAACCCGATGCTCCAATCCAACTCTAAGTGGAGAGCGAGCTTCTCAAAGCGAACACATGCACCACAAAGCCACAAAGGCCCTGGACAAGGCCTGGCGATGTAGTCAATTTCGCATGCCCCGCGCACCACCTCCCAAAACAATCTGCCAGGGAGATCCCCAAACTGCCCAAGATCTCATTGCCTTGTGACCTTCTTGGCCCATCTCTGCCCCTCGAGGTGCAGCTCAGATCCAGCCTCTGTAGCTGGCTCGTCCAGGACGAAGCCCGTGGACTTTTGAACGAAGGCCTTGGGCTCCGGACGCTGACATTCAGAAAATTCAAAACCCGGTCCTCACAGCAATCACAGCTTGGCTGTGTTAGTTCTAGCGACCCCTACCACGACGACCAGGATTACACAGCAACAACGACGACGGCGAGGACGGCGAAGACTACCACGCTGTGACCACTGGGCTCCGGTGCTATGAACTCAGGCCGCGAGAGGCAGTTGACGTGGCCGATGCCCTCCCAGTCGTCGGACCAGGACATCACGAGGCCCTCGAAAGCAAGGTTGTACAATTACAAAGGTCTTGGGAGCTGCATTTAGAATTAAGAGGGTTTAGCACTGTGTTAGCACTAAACCCCTGGGCATGATACGAGGGAAGCGCTCGCCTGCGCCAGTGTCTTCCGAGCGGTAGGGACCAAGGGAAGACTGTTAGCTGTTACCTCCTTTTTTCTCAAGCAAGCTGTGTTCCAGCGCGAACATCACGCTCAGCATCAACAACACTTTCGAGCAGCACAATGTAGGCCAGCCAAGGTTTGAAGAACTGCTCCACTGCCCCACGTCGTCTAGTTGAAATGCTTTGCATCCGTGGCGAGCAGCACAGTCGCTGCCCTTTTTCTGTGATGATGGCCCATACAGGAACAAGTCCGCCCGCCCATACCTATGCACAGCGATGCTGTGCCAAGCAGATACCGCCGCATCACCATGCCAGGCCGCAACGGTCAGTAACTAGCCTGCCGTGCGGTAATCCAACCTTTTTTGGACTGCCAGCTTCGTTGGCGATGTTTTGTTCGCGCATGGAATGGCAGCGCCCAAAACGTGCAGGAGTTTGAGCTTGCCTCCAAGCTATGCCACCTTGCACGAAGGTGACGTCCTTAAGGCACGAGCGGAAGGCCCGAATGGTGCGCCACAAGACCCTTTGGCATTCTCACAACGCTTCCGTCCAATCCCTCACTGCTCAACTTACTTATCTCTGAATGTGTGAAATCCGACGAGAAGGAGCTTTCTGCTTCTGTCTCCTGCTTCTCCAGCTTCTTGCGCACGTGCGCATTCTTTCCCGCTCGCGACAACATCGCTCGTTGCGTTACAGACTTTACAGATGTCATAGTTTCAGGGTCTAGTCGGGTTTAGGGTATCCGGGCTTCGAATTCTAGGTCGTAGGGTATTCGGGATAGGAAATCATACACAGCAATAAGAATTCGACGGATAGTGACAATAAATTAGTGCTGGACATTGGCACTGGCACTAACGGGAGTGGCCCCAGCAGCAGCAGCAGTCGTCGTCGCCGTCGTCGTCGTCGTCGTAGTCGAAGTCGTAGTCGGAGCAGTAGTCGGAGCAGCAGTCGTAGTAGTGTAGTAGTAGCAGCAGCAGCTGCTGCAGGAGTTGTAGCGAAAGCAGCAGCCGAATCGCACATGAATGGCCAGGACGGCCGCGGGAAGAGCACAACTCTCACGAAATCATCGAGCAACCAATCACTGGAACAAGAGCGTGACTGGAACATAAGAGGAGCGTAACTATGATGTGGTGGTCCTCTTGTCATGCAAGCAACATGCGAGTCAAGCTGAAGGGTCCCAACACTGCAGCAAGTGGCAAAACAAACCAAGGATGAATGAGTCCAGTTTGCCAGTGCGCCTGCTTCACCACTGGCTAGCGGCGAGCAGATACCAGATCCCTCAAAAAGGTTCACGTCAGCATGCGCCTTCCGAGCGTGGCGCTTCAGGTTCGACAGGAGTGTCGACGAGTACCTCAGATTGACGCGACGTTACACAATAACTGTCAATCCAGCAGCAACGAACGAACTACTGCTCTCGTGGCTCAGTACAGTCGGTGGCAGCTACTCGGAGTGCATGCAGTCAGAGGAGGGCTCTGATGAAAGAGAAGCAGATGCAGTCCTAGGTCGGAGGGGAAAAAACCGAGAGCTTTAGTAGTAATATAGCACTCGTCGTCGTCGTCGCGAGAGTCAAGTGTTACGAGAGGACCACGACGACACGAGGACGACGAGTTTCCGACCGATTCCGACGACAGTCGATGGGCGCCAGTATCACAGTACCATCTCATGAACTTCCCAAGTCCCGCGACTGATTGTGCGGCCTGGCTGCTGTTTGGGCACGTGCTCGCCGACCTCCAGACACAGCACCCAGTCAAAGGTGCGCCACAAGGTCAGGTCCTGCAAAGCAATGGGCTTTCATGATAGTCTGATGTCTGCAACATGACAACACAACATGCTAACTATGTGCCCTTAGAACCTCGCACGATCCATCGGACAAGAGTAAGCTTAAAGACGAACCTGAAGACAAAGAGACTATCTATGTGTTCGTATATGTATAGAGTTTTGTATAAGTATATGTATATGTAAACATACACATACGTATACACATACATGTACATATACACGTACATATACATATACATATACCTTTACATGTCTCTTTCTCTCTGTCGGACAACACACATGTACATAGACTCATCAGACTCATGGACATGTACTTGAGAATTTTTAGGAGGCCTTGCATTAGAACAGGCTCCGACAGGCTCCGAAACACGGCACCCGCAGGCCTGCACGAGGTTCACCTCCTGCACCAGACCATCCGTGAGTTCGGCAGCCTGCTTCTCGTGATGTTTTTGGGTTTTGGATGCCTTTAAGTCATGTCTTTCTTAAATCGATGACCGCAGCCGGATTCTTATGCACATCACCATCGGCTGACAATATGAGGCTTCGCCCCAAAAGGCGCGCCTACCACTGCGCTGCTGGTGACTGCTTGGCCCTGGAGAAGCCTGGGCTCCCCAAGAGGCGCCTGGTGCGTGCCGTCGAAGGCAAAAGCCTCCACCAGGCCGGTCTCATTGAGCCTTTGAATCAAAGGCGTGTGCTTTCTTCGTGGGATACAACGAAAGGTTAAAAAGTCACGTGTTTACTTAGGATTTCGTAGGAGCTTGTGGGCCACAAGGCCAGAAGGCTTTAAATAACGATCTGTGCATGAAAGTTCGAGCACCGCCCACGTCGCATTGATGCCTAGGGTTGAATCCTAAGCATGAGGTCGTGCGCGACTGCAGCATAAAAGCAGCCGAGGATCCACTTGCTGTAGTGGCCGCCTGCGTCAAAGAGTCAAGGGGGCCACCTATTTTCTCTGGCAGGTCAGAGACGCCCCAAAGTTGCGCTGAAAAGTGTTGAGGTCAATTCGCGTTTGAGATGCTCCGACACAAGAGACTTCCCTTCCGCGCCTCCGGCTCCGAAGTCGCCGATGGCCGTGGTCTCCTCAAAGCCCGGCCTGGTGCCACGCGAAGCCGAGGGCGGTCGCACGGCTTTTGACTGCTCCGCCCCTTCTAACTTCAACGTGTGCCGGCTCCGCTGCCAGACGTGGCGTATCAGTCCACCTCGGCACGGAGACAGCTTCTCACTCGACCTTGCCTCATCCTCATCCTACCGTCTTGTACTGCTACCAACTGACATCTCTGTATCCAGCACTTCTCCAATTCTCCAACCACCCTTTCAAAGCAGTCAGCAAAGACGGTGTCGAGATGTGCTTGTGAATCAAAACCTGCCTCCTGCGGCCCGTCGCAGGTGCGCTGTCAGTGTTCTAGGCGGCTGCGATGTGTCAACTGTGGTCATTCTACCTGGTGGTTTATATGGTGGCGATCTCAAGTCGACGTCTTGGGGAAGTGTGGGAACCTGGAATCCTGTTGCTCCTCCACTGGCAATACGTGAAATGCAAAGGTCCTTAAGGTTCTTCCATTCTTACGGTTCTTCGTACACACTGCTAGCATCAGTCTTGACTTGTGGGAAAGCAGGGTTCGAAGAGCGAGTAAGAATTGGTGAGCTCACGCAAACCTGCTGGGCCCCGGCGGAGGAGCCCTTTGTCGATGGCCCACTGGCCGAACACCTCCAGACTTTGCTTGGAGAGGGGAGAGGCGAGGAGAGGCAGAAATAACCCTTTCACGTCGCGGCCTTCCGCCGCAGGAACTCGTAGGTCACAAAGGATCCCTGTTCATCCTGCAGGCTGAGGGGACTTAAGACGGCTCAAGATGGCCGCAGAGGAATCCCTGCGTTTGAGACACGAGCAGTCTTCTGCACCACGTCCTGGTGGTGCAGGCGTACTGGGCCCTCGCCGGACGTCCTTGGTTGCAGGCGGTCTCGTCTCGTGTGAAATACACAACGCCAAGCTCTTGAACTGGCAGGTGCTCATGACAGGTACAAGAGAAGAGCCTTCGTTTTGATCGCTGCTCTACTTCCTAGCCCTGTGAGAGTTGGAGCTGTACTTTGGCATCATGTAGCCAGCATCATTATTGTCGAAAAGATGCTGTACTGTTTCCTTCGGCGCGTGTGTACATAACACGTAGTCTGTAGGCTGATGTAAGTATGTACAGCCAACTCGAGTAATTAGTCAAACCATATGTTTATTAATCAGTCGCCCTCTCAGTTTGCCTGCATGTGTTCAGGCGGATGTATCCATGGGAACCCACGAGGAAGTAGCTCCGAGAAGGATCGGTGCACCATTAGGAACATCACTACATCACTACGACCCACCTACTAATGCAATAAGTGCCCCAGTGTGGACCCTAGTGTGACGCTAGTGTCCTGGAGCACCCATTTGCACGCCAAGTTGCAGTTCCGCCCCCTCCAGCTCGAGCATGGCCTTTCAACCGTCAGACATGACTCATGACGCCTAGCCCTCCTGGCTTTGAGTGCGGAAGTAGCTCCTGCCTTGTAGAGATCCTGTGCGTAGCCATCGAACCTGGGTGCATACTTCTTTTTAGGCCCTTTGAATTGTAAACCTGAGCCGATGGCCAGCGGAAGACTTTGCTTATCCAGAAGCTGCCGGCCACGAAGCTCTCCTTCGCACGGCGGGCACGCTCCATCCATTGCGAAAGCGACTTCCACAAACAGCAGCTCCATCACGACACCGTCAGCAAAACCCAAAAGACCACATGACGTACTTATACAAGGATCTCGCAGTGAAGGCTGGCTCCCTCTTGGTCGCCATCACTAGGATCCCGGCCTGTGCAGAAGAGGGAGCACCTGGAGGGACTGCAAAGATTTGGCGGCTTTAGCGGCTTTCGAAGCCGGGGCGTTGAGTTCCGCGGCTTTTTCTGCAGAGGTTCACCATGCAGGACGGCATCCTGAGGGAGAGAACTCACACCGCAGAATCCATGGAACCTCACACAGTGGCATAGCTTCTTTCTGTGCGCACGCATGCGATCAGCAGGCCTGTGCTAATGTTGAATGTGGGTGAAGCAGGGCCAGTTGAAGTCCAATTAGCAACGTTTGTCGAGTGGAAAACATCTCCAAGCTGTGCCGCTGTCCACATCGGAAGACACAACCTGTGGAGCACCTCCGTCGCCTGCCGACATGCCCGGCTGGCTGAAAGTTCCGAAGGCGAAGCCGTACCTGCGGATCAGAATTCAGTGGGGAGGCTATGCAACAGCAGCATTTAGCAACCAGCGCCACCTGCGCCACCCAGTATAATAGTACACCACCCCTGAAAGCAGCAACGCTGAACGAGCTAGCCATCCGCGGGCAAACTGATTCGGTAATTGGGCTCCCTGGTTTGAACAAGATCCCAAGCATTTCGGTTGCATGGCGAGGTCAAACCTGCGGGCGGAGGAGTTTGTGGCTGGGGGGGGTGCTGGGGCACCACTGCTGCGCCAAGTAGTCGACATGGAGTTTTTTCCTTAGAGCAACTGAAGCGTCCACAATACTTGCGACTGGTTTAGTCGTTGCCATGATGCTTCTGCTGCTGGACTGTCGGATTGCTTCCTGCGGGTTAAAAAAAACATGTCAAACCTCCAAGTCGCCACACTGCCTACGTCCTTAAGGCTTAGCCTGCATCTGGAAATGTGGGGGGCGTGCTTTGCCGCCATCTCGCTTTTTTGGCGAAAGGCATCTACAAGGTGAGACGCTGTGCCTCGCTCTCTCAGAGGTGACAAAGTGTCTCGGCTTCATCCGAAAAGGAATCTGGCAGCACGCAAGCAGCTCAGGACTCTGCATGAGCAGAGGCTCAGGTTTCAGAGGCTGAATTGCTGAATGACGCCATCGTAACTAATGTGTCGAATATCTCATCCAGAGTACTTCTCGCGACCGAAGCCCGAGTAATTGTCACTGGCCAGATCCAACTGCTGCTCCGGAACTACATGGCGGGCTGCCCGTGACGAAGAGGACCGGTGTGGTCTGGACCATATACTCATCCAAACGAGACAACGCCGCTGGCCTGCCAGCAGCTCCTGACTACGAAAGATCTCCGTCTTGCCAACTCAGCGGCTGAAGCAGAGGACGTGTACCAGGCCGAAGGTGTTGGAGTCTGTTTTTGCATGGTCTTCGCAGCATCTCGACTGTTTGGTCTACCCGTGTTTTGAGTCCTGGAAAGCGCATGCTGAAGAGTTAGCTCAACCAGAGTGGCTCCAGTCCTGACCAAGAGTAAGAGGCGGTGCACGTGTTTCACAAGTTCTGCAACTTCTCCGACCAAGTCTTGAGTTCCGCAGCTGCTGCAGCTTGCTTGCCGTAAAAAGCTAGAGGCCAAAGAACGTCGGAGGACCTACGAAGGAATGCAGCCGTGGTCGATGCTTGGCAACGGCTGGAACACAGAGCCAGCTCTTCGTTCCCTCAAAGGAGACCAAACGGAAAGGCCTGAGAAGCTCGCCACTCCGTTTCAAGCGCGGCAACCTCTCCCACAAGCAATGTTTCGTTTGCATAGGTACGTGGTCCCGGCCGACGAAGAAGTGGTGCCGCAAAGTGACTGTGGCGATGTGATGACTGGTGTCATGTGGGGCCGGGGCTACTGTAGCATGACTGGTGTCATGTGGGCATCGGTGCTGTGACACTGCTGGTGCGACGTGGGGCTTGGGTACTGCTACATCACTGCTGCGATGTGGGGCCTTTTGGACACGACATGACTGCTGCGATGTCTGGTGTGGGCGCTGCGACATGACCGGTGCGATGCGGGGTCTGTTGGAGGCGGGGTGCGTCAGCTGTCTCCTGACGGGTGCTATGTGGTATTTGCATCATCGCAGTGTCAGGCCTTGCCAAGTTTTCCAAATTCTACCAATGTATGAAACTGTTCACCGTCGCTCGCTTGGAGGCTTGGCGGCGCCTGTCACACAATTAATCGAATCCTGCCGTGACCTTCTTCACCAATGGCATCTTCGCCCCGTAATAAGCACTGCCTTCTGCTCTGCGAAACTGGACGGGGTCTTCCCGACACGATGTGCCGCTCCTCAACCGGCACTACGAGGTCCAGGTGTTCAGGTGGGATTTGCGAGCTCTGCTCCAGGCTTCGGGTGGCTTTCCTCCACCGAAGCGGCACACAGTTTCTTCCGCAGAGTATTGTCAGACATTGGCGTTTCCACATCGATCTGCCTCGGCCTTTGGGAGCGGGCTGGTGTTTGCCGTGCACTTGGCCCGTTACCATCACTCTCATCATCCAGCTCTGTGTCTTGTTTTAAGGGGATCATCTGCATGGCTCCACATCTCATGCTAGCAGGCACTGCGGATGGAGTTCCCGGAACATGCACATCCAATGACACTGGATTATCCATCATGTGGGCGAGGATCCCTGCTCACACGCAGTGCCTACCGTACAAAGATCTCTGCTGCGGGGTCCAGTACGTCCGTTGTTTCTGTCATGCCAAATCATCCAAATAATTGTAAATTCTTGACTCTTCACAGCTGTCGGTTCGATGTGCAGGCACAACAATCAATTCGACAGCACGACCTCCCAGAGAGAACTTGGTCGTATTTCAGCCGTGGAGCCAGCCCTCCACGCCGCGAAGCACCGCATCCCGCGCGATGGCCTCTCAGGCTGGCCCGTGCTTACCCGGGGTTAGTGCGGGCGTTCACATGAAGATAAAGCGCGAATGACCAAAAAGCATGATCGTCGTAGACCACGAGTCGTGGACTCGACTCCTGCAGAGCCTTGAGGCCTTGAGGCAGTGGTGCTGGTCCACCGCCAGGGCCATGATGCGGAAGAAGTAGGTTTGCACCTGCACAGAGGGGCCCCAAAACCAAAAGTCCAGCAGAGCAAAAGAAAGCTTTTTTGCTGTAGCCCCGCCTTCTGCGTGAGCCGCTCCTCGGAGGTGGCCAGGAGCCAGACCCAGAGGCTCTCCGAGGGCCTCCCCGAAGACCCACGAAACAACCCGGGACGCTGACTCTCTTTCTCGCTCTCGGGCCGGGCCCCCGGGCATCTGCTGCATCAGCTGCAGGTAGACGCCCGCGACGCCCATGAAGTCCGAATGGAGCTTCGCGAGCTCGTCGCGCAAGCCCACGGTTCTGCACCACAAAAGCTCGAAGGGCTTGAAAGGAAGGGCAGACCATCCCTGATCCCCTGGGCCCCGGCCGGTTCATGAGGTAGAACAGGCGCGCGGAGCAGTCCATCTCTTGCACCTCCGAGCAGCTCGGGAATTTCGGGAGTGGGCTTCGGCGTGCTGGGTGTGTTATCCCAGAGCGTCGCATCTGCCACTGATGTGACCAAAGGCCTGGAGAAACTCGTCGAGTCTGTGCAGGGGCTCTGATGCCGCCGCATCCTCCAAGCACTTCTGCAAGCTCCCTTCTCGGGCTTTTCCTAGCTTGCGTGGTATCTGCAGCAGGTCTTGGGGTGTCCCCTCGTATTCTTAGCTATGAATGCATGCGTTGCCTTTGCCTTTGGTCGAATCATTCGAAAGAATCCCTGGTGCAGTCCCCTTCGCCCACTGCCTGGGCCAAAAGCTCGTTGGTCACCAGCTCCTCGAGCTGCTCCGGGGACAAGGCTGGCTCTGCCGCCTGGGAAGGGCGCCGGCGGAGTGTTGGGATACTCTGCCTCGAAGCACACGCCACTACCTTGGCCTGGCACTGCCGGCAGGATAAGCAGGCATGCCGAAGTCTTAAGGTGGCTCGGCGGAACCGAGGACCGTGCTGCGGGTGCTGCTTGACTGCCTGGGAAGACGGACCGACGCTGCCACTTCACGAGAACTGCTGCCGACGACGACGATGCTTTTGCTAGCTATCTGTGTCTCCTTCTCTGGGTCCGGAAGGACTTGTCTGACCGGTCTTAGATCACAGCGAGCAACACCCAGCGCCCCAAGGAGTAGACGCCAGGGGCGCCTCGGAACCGGAAAGCCACTTCTGCGCTAGTCATGAAGTAGATGGTCCCTGCACACACTATACATGAGGATGACCAAATTTACATGCTAGCGAAAGCTAAAACACTCTACATGAATATGCAGAAGCAAACATACGCAAAATCTAAATGTCAATATAAACAGAAATATACACATAAGCATAAACATAAATGTATGCACATGTGTGTGTGTGTGTGTGTCTGTGCGCATATCTGTGTATAGATGAAACAGCGTATGACATAAAGCTCCTCACGCTCATTGGACAAGATCTGCTGCCTTGAAACACCGATCAAAGAGGAATCCCGAAACTGCTGGACTTCCAGGATGAGAAGGGAAATCTTAAACTTGACCCCTAGACCCGAAAACCTAGCAGCCCTAAACCTCAAAATGTCGTGAGAAGCCGAGGCGCATCCTCTCAGTGCCCTCTGGACGGAGACATTTGCGGCCCGCTAGAAGGGTGCAGGGAGCAGAGTTTAGGTTGCTTAGTTTAGGGGGCACTTGTTCGCGTGGGGCTTAAGGTTTTCAACCTTAGCTTCAAGGGTTAATGGGTCGAGGAGATCGAGCAGATGCCCCAGACTTAGGGTTCGAGGGTTGAGGGTTGGGCTTTGCGGTGATGGGGTGTGGTGCTGGGTTTCTGATGCTCCTCGTGCGGCGTTGAGCTGTCGGAGTTAGTAGGCAAGCTCTCACCGAAGCTCATAACCGTCATCATCATCGTCGGAGCTTCGGAAGCTTGGGATTTGTAGGACCTTGTGACCTTGTGGGATCCTTCTACACCGATCTTCGAATCCTTCTGGAACGAAAGCTCCTGCCCAGCAAACTTGGGCCTGGCTGAAGCTTCCCTTCCGGCCCCGAGCGGGGAGGGGGCGGAGCTAGCGCGAGGGAGAGCGCGCCTGGAGGCGCGTCGAGCCTCTCGGGCCAGCAAGACCGGGGGAAAGTACGGGAGACTCTCGGGTGAGCCACGTAGCAAAGCCGACGGTAAGCAGGTTAGCACTTCTCAGACCCGTCTGAGCCCAGAAAAGGAAGGGGAACCGAACAGGAGACATCCACCCACAGAGCACCTCTGCCGCGCTTTTTTGCTCGAGATGATCGGTCCGACACTTCATTGGCCGGCTGCACACGTGCACGCTTGGGCTGGTTGATGCGGGCACCTCTTCATCAAGCTACCCTGCGTTTCACTAGGACAGGCGCGGGGCAAGGAGGCACGCCAGACCACGATTGCTCACCGCACCTGCACTGCAAAACTAAACTGTTATGTCTACTGTTGCACGAACCGTGACACTCGTCGGCAGGAGCTGGGTTAGCAGCACGTGCTCAACACGGCGACATACATTGCATGTGTTACAGTAACACTGCCGAGCAAAAACGAGAAGGTGTCAGGATAGGCGTCACGCTCGAGTGCATACGCATGTTCGGGCTTCTTGCGTGGCATGGACGCACCTTTGCTTTGACCTGTTGATAAAACCCTGTGCTCCGGTGCACAATGCACTGAAGCTCTGTATTCGATTAGAAAATGGAAGAAACAAGGAACCGTGCACCCAAGAAACCAAAGACCGAAGATGATCTAAGCCCTCGCAGCCCCTGCGCGAGTGGTGCCTTCACTCGCTCTGCGACCCTGGCTGGGAAGTGGGTGCTCCTTCGCGATCGTTTCTCTCGTCAAGTTTGTGGGGGTGCAGCTTACGCTATCTTGTGAGACTTTTGAAATCATGATGTTCGCAGTCGTACAAGTAGTGACACTAGCAGGTGACTAGCAGCGGTACTAGCAGTAGCAGCAGGAGACGGAGTGGCAATTGTAAGGTCACGACTTCACTAAATACTAAAGACCCGACGACACGGTAAACCAATCGAGAAGACCTACGTGCTGCACAGGGAACCAGTAGCAGCTGCCGAAAACCAGCCGGCCCTTTTCCAACCACATCACCGACACAACCAAAAATCTGCACAGCAAGGCCACCTAACCCTGAAACTTTAAACCCAACATCCACCCAAGGCCCTTCAAACCCAAAGCTCAAAAAAGCCAGGCTTCTTGGGACAGGGCTGAATAAAGAAAAATAAGTTTCATAGCAGCAGTAGTAATAGTTACTGCAACAGCACAAGCAACAGTAATAGTAGTAGGAACAGTAACAATAGTAATAAAGATAATAACCACGAACAAAATACTGACACTATCACTAATGAGAAAAAGAACAACAATAACAATAACCCTAACAATGGTAACTACTTGTTTCACCCTAAACCCTGAAAAAACCCAAAACCCTAAGCCTAAACCCCAAACCCTAAACCCTAAACCAAGAGGCGTCTCGGCCCGAGGGACTGTAGCGTAGTTTCTTCCTTTCGAGGAGGTCCGCTATAGAAGCTCGGCCGAAAGACCCAGCGAGGCCCCTAGGGGCGCCCGCGCCTGCTTGGTCATAGCAGTTGTGTGACCTTGTGGGTTTCTACATTCCTGGAATTGGCCCGGCTCCGCCGTTGGCCCGGCTCTGCCCGACTCTGGTCGCTGGCAGTGCTTACTCCCCTGTACGCTTCGCGAGGGGGATTTGGTTTTCTATGGGATATTTATTTGGGCTGCTTTTCACGAGTTGGATAGCGAGCCTGCCGAGTCCTAGCGTCTTCGCTTCACTGGAGCAAGACGGCTTCCGAACCCTCGTTCCACCGCCGACAAAGGAGGAGGAGAACGTGGGCAAGGACCATATTACGCCTTGCACAAATCGGACAGGTACCCTGGTCTTCTACCTTGGAGCGTGCCATTCGAGTGCTGGATTCACACCACTCCCGGTCTACATTGCCGGGGAGAGTGAGGAGGATTTTTGGCCTCAAGACCGCCACCATGCCGACGGGGCAAGGACAAGCCTGGTGGTGCTATGGTTGCGGACGATGGTGCAAAGCCAGAGCTACTTTCTGCGATGGCTGTGGCACCAAGTGGGATCAGGGAGGCTGGACTCAGAGCCCGAGACGGCGCACCCCAGCCTCACCGAGGAGACGGCAACCTTCGCCACGCAAGAAGGGCAAGGGGAAGGGCAAACCTCCAGAGGATACGAGTTTGCCCGCTCCCTCGCAGCTTCCAGTGCCTCCTTCTATGCCGCCGGTTTTGAACAAGCCCAACCGGCCCAGGAAGCCCAGCCTTGCAGCTGTGCCAGAAGCGAGTGTGCCGGCGGCCTCTTCAGGACAAGTGGTGGAAGGGCAGCTCGCGACTCTAGTTCAGGCGATGAGTGCGCACAAGGATGCGCTTCCCGAGCCCATCCGAGCTCTCCTGGCTGCTCAAGAAGAAGCAACAGCAGCCTCAAGAGCCAAGGTGATGCACCGAGCTGTCGCTTCGCAGACGAACTGCCAGAAGCAGCTGGCATCTCTACGAGCCAGTCGCACTCAGTATCTTCAAGGCTGGCAGAAATATTTGGGCGATTTGCTCACCAACTTGGAGAAGCAGCTCGAGGAAAAGAAGACGGTGATGGCAGACTTTGCCACCACAGAAGCTACCTTGGAGGAGACGATCGAGGCCGCGCGCGACCAAGTCTTACAGATGGCTGGAGGCGAGGTCAAAGCGGAGTCGGACGGGATGGAGACCGAGCCGACAGGCCTAGCGGAGGTGGCGGCACCAGTGGCGCCGAGCGCGACAGTGCCGGATCTTCGCGCAAAGGAGGATGGCCTTCGCGAAGCTCTGCACATGGCCAAGGAGGCCCTGGATCAGGAGCTAACAGAGGTCAACCGCGAACGGACGCCCAGACGCAAGTCGATCGAGATCTCGGACGACGAGCAGGGTTTATGAGAAGCCCGTGTCGGAGCCTAACGGGAACACACGGGCTAGCTATTCCATGTATGCTGTGGCACACCATTATGCAGGAGCCGGATTTTGTGCATCCTTTGATGTCTACGCAGCTCGCTGCCCATGCCAGCTACATGAAGACCTCCTACGACGTTGAGGTTTACATTAGGGAAATGGACCCCCGAATCCTGCACTACGAGGGAAATTCCTCTGCTACGCCTGGGTGGGCTGGCGGAGGAAGTTCGGCTCCGATGTTCCGGCGCAGCGATGGCCACATGGACAGCCAGGCCATTCGTACCGCTGATGCCATCGGAGGTGCTTCTGACGCCGGCAGCGCCCAGTCCTGCAGGCGAAACCGCAGCGCTGATGTCATGTTTTCCTGTGCTGCCGGGGTTGGCGGTGATAGGAAACCTGGCATCTTGAAAACGTCGGCTTCACTCAGTGAAAGCGATATTCAAGCCTGTACAGTTGCTTAAAAAGTTGTAAAGTTTGCGGCACCTGTAAATACCACTGTTGACACCGAGAATGAGCTAGGAGTTTTTTCTGCGGTGCCTCCTCCACGGCCCTCCTCTCAGGTGCACAAGGCTGTCATCACTTTGGCCCCTTCTTCCGAGCTCTGCTGTCAGGCAGACCGTGCACTCCTTGGGGTCGTGGGCCCACTTCTACCGGGTGTGTCCAAGGTCGGTTCCGTGTCGAGCCTTGCACACTTTGATGCCAAGACACAGGAAAGGTTGCAGCCACCAGACAGCAACGCGGCTGTCTTGTCGCATCCCGCTGCCACCGTCAGCGGAATGACAGTCGTCCCAGGAATTACCAAGATCGATGCCATGTCGAGCCATGCACCTTCAGATTCCCTTGGGGTCGCAGGCCCATGCAACCCAGGATCGCTCAGGCTACCTGTCGTCACAGGGGAGTCCCGGATCGATCCTGTGCCCCCCGATCTCCTTGGGGTCGCGGGCCCTTCAGCACCAGGTGTGTCCAAGGTCGGTTCCCTGTCGAGCCTTGCACACCCCACCACGGAAATGCCGAGTCGCGTCCCCTCCTCTTTCCTTGGGGTCGCGGGCCCTTCTGCACTAGGTGTGTTCAAGATCGATTCCCCGTCGAGCCTTGCACGCCTCACCACAGACTCAACATCCTCGCCATGTGGGTCTGCAGCACAGTTTCCTGGGGTCGCGGGCCCTCCTGCACTCAGTGTGTCCGAGGTTTCTTCCCCGTCGAGCCCTACACACCTCTCCGCAAAAGCGATACCATCGCCACAAGGGTCTATTGCACTGCCGGGGGTGTCCGAGATCGGTACCGTGTCGAGTCTTGCACCCTCCACTTTCCTTGGGGTCGCAGGCCCTGCTGCATCCTCCACGCACCAAGCCACCTCCTCGCAAAGTCAAGTCTGCCCTCTCATAAAGGCCCAGGCCGAGCTGACCGTGTCGAAGCAGCTGTCTGAATGCTCTGCCGCTGCTCCAAAGAACAATTCTTTACCCCGCCACAGGGCGGGCCCTGGCCAGGCACCAGACGATGCGAACCAGGCGCCACACCAAACGCCGCCGGAGCCTAAAGCACCGCCAGCACTGCTCGGCCGCGAAGGTCCGCCCAGACCCAACGATATCAGCAAGCTCGGCTTGAACAGGATTCTTTTCCTCCCGGAGCATCTGGCACGATACCCGGTGAACGAAATTCCTGTTGATCAGCTTGGCATCTATGCACTGGAGCCAGGGCATGCCAGAAGGATACTCAAGTATTCTGTCTTCGACAGGCAGAGGCACCACCAGCAGCGCACAGCCGCCTACGGTTGGTCGCTCAACGACCTTGTCTCCGAAGCGGTGCGGTCGTCAGACGAACGAATCAAGACAGCACAGGTTCTCACCACCACGATGCCCCAGCTTGCTGTCCCTCAAATCGTTCTCACTCCCGCTGATACGGCTCATAACCAGCTGTGCGTTCCCATCGACCTCCGGCCCCTGGGCGGTCGGCCTTGCACTTTGCTGCTGCAAGAGGGCATGCCTGCACAAGATGTCATACACGAGGCGTTCCGTGCCTGCCCAGCTGGGCCTCTTTTCGTGCCGCCACACGGGGAAGCCAGGGACCTTTTTCTCGTCGATGCCCAGGGCAATGTCTGGGACGAGCTTCCGCCTGAGCTGTCCCAGCTCCAATGGTTAAGGATCCAAGGCAGACGCCCTCTCGATGTGCTGCAGGCACATCCGCCGGAGCCACAGTACGGGCCGACAGCACCGCGCCATCCGGCGGATACCACCACCCTCACAGCAACATAGGTGATGGAGCAGCAGAATGTGCAGACCGTATCATTTATCCTCGCGGGATTGGGCATAACTGTGCGGCTGCACCCGCAACACA